TGTTTGGTTATTTAGATTCTGCAACTTTGGCTTTCTCGGACTCATTTCACTGAGCACCATACCCTCTAGGTCCATCCTTTTTGTCTAAAATGGCAAGATTTCCTTTTTATGGCTGAGTAACATAGGTCTCTACCACCTCTCCCGTATCCATTCATCTATGGATGGATGCTTGGGATGTTTCCAGATCTCAGATATTGTAAATAATGCTGCTGCAAACATAGGGGTGGTGTGTATCTTTGTGAATTAGTGTTCATCTTGTTTGGATAAACACCCAGAAGTGCAATTGCTGGATCACATGGTGATTCCTTTTAATGTCTTGAGGAACCTCCACACCGTTTTCCAGAGTGGCTGCACCCGCTTGCGTTCCCACCAGCCGTGCACGGCGGTTCCCCTTTCTCTGCATCCTTGCCAACACCTGTTGATTTTAGCCACTGTGACCTGTGTGAAGGAGATGTATCATCCTAGTTTTGATTTGTATTTCTCCCACGATTAGTGATGTTGTGCATCTTTTCATGTGTCTACAGGTATTCTTTGAAAAAATGTCCTTTCAGATCCTCTGCCTATTTTTAAACTGGGGCGTTTTAATTTTTTGATACTAAGTTGTCTAAGTTCTTCATATGTTTTTGGATATTAACCCCTTACAGGATGGATGATTTGAAAATATCTGCTCCCATTCAATAGGTTCCTTTTTCATTTTGTTGATGGGTTTCCTTGGCTCTGAAGAGGCTTTTTAGTCTGATGAAATCCCATTTGATGTAATCCTGTCTGTTTATTTTAGCTTTTGTTGCCCTTCCCTGGAGAGACAGTTCCAAATAAATGTTGATAAGGCCGATGTCAAAGAGATTACTGCCTGTGTTTTCCTCTGGAACCTCTATGGTTTCTGGTCTTCAGTCCTGTGTTCCTCTTGTGTGGTGCGGGACAAAGGGCCGGTTTCCTTCCTCTGCACGCTGCTGTCCAGCTCTTGTAGCACCACGTGCGAGGACACTGTCTGCTCTTGCCCTCCTCGTCCTACCTTAGTTGCCCATTTACGGGTGCGGTTTTTTCTGGGCTCTTGAATCTGGTCTGTGTGTTGTGCTGGGGCCACACTGTTAGGATTCTCTGGCTTTGCAGACATTCTAGGGTCTAAGGTGTCACCATTCCCAGATCTCATGGCGCCCAGCTCCACCCACTCTTCCTCTAGGATGGTTGTTCTACCCTGTGGACGCACAGCCTTGGCCTCCCCTTCCACCACCTGGCCCGCACGCCCCCTGACCAGCAGCACCCGCCCCTGCCGGAGCGCCCCCTGAGCGCCTGACTGCGGGCACTGCCGCCCCCCTGCCGCCCACCCCCCCCACTGTGAAACACCGGCTGAGGCTGGCGAGGGGCTCCACAGGCACGCAGGCGGAGGCGGGTGACGGAGCTGCCCCACACGCCGCCCTCATCATCCTCCGTCCTTTCTGCCAACCCTCGGACCTCCTCACACCAGCCGCACAGGTGTGGTGCGGGGGCTCTGCCGCGGCTACGTGTACTCTGGGGCCCTCACCGCTCCTCCCGACTTGCGAGACTCGGGAATGGCTTCTGACCTCCTGACTGGTGCCACCTTCCTAGAATAAGGACCCTTCATTCTCCTCCCTCCCTCAAACACAACCAGCAATGTCCACCGTCTACATGAAATGTCAGCTGGGCAGCGCACTTCACGGCTGCTGGGACCTGCCAGGCCCCTGAAATGCTAGACGATTACAGAATTAGAGCTCTCCAGTTTAAAAAATAGCAACTACCAGGAATCTCAATGAAATGATAGGAAAAAATAAGAAAAATATGCATTTCATAAGAAACAACTCTAGTTTAAAGAAAAAACTGCTACCTCACAAGGAAATGTGTTATTCCTCCTCCTGGGTGGCACGCCTACCACAGGCCTTTCTCGTGTCCGCCAGCCTCCTGAGTAAGGGCTGCTGGCCTCTCTTCTGACTTCTCCTGCAGCAATTCTGGATTCCACAGCGGCACAGGGGGCTGCCCGCATCCCCCGCCTGGCACCCCAGTGGCCGTCCCTATGTTGAGTGGCGCAGTATCAGACCAGTGCCCGGCACTGCGCAGCATGTCAGCTTCACGTCACCGTCACGTGTGGATCTGCATGGCCAGCATGGCCATCAAGATGCAGAGGCGTCCCATCTGCACCAACATGGTCCTCGCCTGCATCCGTGGCCACATCCACGCCCTTGCCCACCCCTAGTCTGGCACGACCCATCAGTTCTTCACCGCGCTGATTCTGTTTGTGACAATGGCCGTCCAGGCTGCCCGCCCAGCAGACATGAAAGTCCGACCCTTGGCCTTCTTGGACTCCATGCTGGCCTGGGAGCTGGGTCATCTGTGGACAGCCAGGAGAGCTTGGAAGTCTAGGGTCCCCACTTGGTCTTCGGAGACAGAGGGTGGGGCCTTTGCTGAGCACAAATGGACAGGGAACACTGTGCAAGCTGCTGCTGCACCATGCGCTGACTGGACACACTTACATGTGGCCATGTGATGGCCACCGCCGTGGTGACTCCTCCGTCCGTCACATCATCACGGGGCCACATGTGCTGTGCTTTCTCCAACGGCTGGAATGGAAGCGTGAGTGTTCCCGTCTTGCCAGGCTGCTCCTTCGGTCACAGAGAGCAGCTCTTCTCGGCCTGTCTGTGCCCAAT